GCCGTCCCTGGGCCGCTCACGCGGGTGCGGCCGTTGCAAACGCCCGCCGGTTCCCCTCGCCGCCTTTCCGCCTCTCAGCTCTGCCCGCGTCTGGGCAGGAGTGGGGGCCGGACGGCTGCGCGGGGCCAGCGGCTTTGATCGCCCATCCCCACGGGTAAGTGGAGAAGCAGGGGGAAAACCCAGGCCAGGACGGAGAATGAGAGTCCTCGTTGCCCCAGAGCTGGACGCCTCGCTCCGCCCGGGACGCCCGCCCGCGGCTCAGCACTCGCGGGCCGCCTGCGCGCGCCTGCGCTTCGGGAGGCGCAGCGACCGCGACCGTCGGGGACCCGCGAGCGCAGCCCCGCCGCCGCGCGAGCCGCGGAGACGGACTCACACCCACCCCTGGGTTTGCGTTCAGAGAAAGCTACATAGCCGCAATTTGCATTCCCCTGGTGTAGCAAGGCTTTTGTTTGGCGCATAGATTTGGTAAGTTTGGGACCCGTGATGAAATATCTAATATTTACAGTTTTCTGGACAAAATTTGGGGGTAAGAAATGGAGAAAAAATTGCAGTAATGAAAAGGCAGTGTTGGCGAAGGTGCGGGACGCAAGAGGAGGGCTACATGGGAATCGTGATTCCATCAGAAGTATCCCGTCGAGTGAAAGAATGTGCACCCTTGCTGGAGTGCGAGGTCATCCGTGTGTCCCGAGGGGGAGCTGAGCACTGAGAAGACGGCCACTGGGTGAAGGTGCGGTACCGAGTGAGTACGCGCAAGCGCACCCCGGCCGAGCCTCCAGCTTGCTGTTCCCGAATTTGGACCGGGGCTCCACACAAACCAATTTGAAATCCCGTCTCTGCCACCGGCTTGCTGTGCCATACTTTGGACCTACAAAGTCCCACAAAAGCCTCAGAGGTGGGACCTGGTGGAAGGAACTTAGGTCAATGGAGATGTGCCCGGGAAGGGGATGTGCGGAGAGCCCCCCTCTTTGGCTTCTGGGCTGCTAGAGGTGAGCAGCGACCTCCTCAAGCTCCCCACCAGGAGGTGCTGTGCTGCTGCAGTGGGGAGTGGCGGGGACCGAAACTGTGAACCAGATAAACCCTTTCTTCCTTCAAACTGATTATCCTCGGTATTTTACCACAGTGGTGGAAAGCTAGTAATTGTGCAATGGTGAAGAAGTTATGTAGCCCACACGACATCTCAGTTTCTTCTTTGTAACTTAGGGAGAATGATGATGATGATCTGGCTTGGACCTCATAGAATTTTTGGTGGAGTCAGTGGTGTCAGCTTTTTTTTTTAAAGGCTTAAACGGTTGTTTGGGATGTGAGTTCTCATGTACATGCTATATATTATGTTTATAAATCTCTAACATGACTGACATTCATGGTGACTACAAGATTAGTGTTCAAGCCCACTTCAGATCTGTTTCTTTCTAGATGGTCTGTCAGCCGTTTTGGTGGTTACCCCTAAATATATTTAGGTGTGGCATAGTAATACCTGTGCCTTGAGACTTCACTGTGTGGACATTCGCTGGCTTATAATAATGAAGCCTGGAAATAACCTAAGTTCTAG